TATACTAAAGAGGAACTCAATACTATATATTAAGTTGTGCAAAAGTATTTATTTAGTCACCATTCGCTCACCATTATTGAAAACAATTAAAAAAGTCTAATAATAAGGCCATTATGTAATAATGTAATTCTGTAATAGATGTTTCCATTAAAATGAATAAAAGTAAGCATATAATGACATAAGAAAATAAGGTGACAAATAAAAAAGAACTGTGTGGACTGAACCCAGTTTCCTTTAAAAAAGATTTAAAAAGAAGTTTGTCAAATGTTTTGATATGGATATCAAAACAATGTGTGATATTGATAAAAAAATAAGAGAAAAAGAACAAAGTCATCTTTGTGCTTGTGGATAAAAGGACCTAAAAGAAAACTTTATAAAACAGTATTATCTAAATTAATAGAAAATATTCCAATTTTAAAATTATTTCAAAATTTCAAAAATGGTTTTAATATACTGTCACTGTTGAGAATATAAACAGCAAAATAAACAAATTCAGCAATTTCTATATACACAATTAATTCAGTGCAAGTTGGTTAGGCAAAGATTATATAATTATCTTCCATTTTGTGATCTGAGAAAATCGTACTGTGTGCTATAAATACAAAGAAAAATCGTTGTCTTTGAATTGCTGTGGAAGGGTATTAATTTAAAAGACTAAGGTTTGCCTGATCCAAGCCATGGTTTTTTCCAATTGCTTCCTACGAATCTTAAAGATGGACAATGAACAAGGATGACTGAAGAAGATTCGAAGTCTTTGCATTGTGGTATTGGAGAGGAGTACTGAATATCCCATAGACTGCCAGAAGAACAAATAGAAATGTCTTGGAGGAAGAACGACAAGGATGTTCCTGAGAGGCAATATGATGGTTAGTCTCAAATATTTTTGGCATGTTACCAGGAGGAGCGGGCTAGTCCTTAGAAAAAGACATCATGCTGAGGAAGATGAAGCCCCTCAATGAGATGGATTTGACACAATAATTGTAATAATGGTGTCATGCATATCAGATATAATGGGAATAGCACAGGATAGGCCAGTGTTCAAATCTGTTGTTCACAGGGTCCTTGTGAGTTGCAGGTGACTTGATGGCACATCACTATAACAAACTATGAGCAAATAAATGTTTGTTAAAGCCATCTCATTGTGACATCACTTTTTTGAGCTTTACTATAACACAATGTTCCCCCCACAACCATACTCAAATTTTATATTGGCTGCTTACAAAGTTTATATACATTATGTTTCACACATCCTTCATTCACATTGTTTCATATAATCATTCCAGTTCATTATATTTTATAAAATTAATTAACACTGAACTATGCCCACCATTTCTGTCTTTCCAGATCCTCACTGAATCTTTCCCACTTCCTTTACCCATCCCTCCTTCCACCTATCAAATTGTGTGACCCTATGATCTCCCCCTGCCCATTCTTACCCCTCTACTCCTACTCTCCCTCCCTAGGATCTTCATACACCATTGTTCCTATGTGCTGTGTAGTATTCCATTGTGTGAATGTACCATAATTTCTCTATCCATTCGATTGTGGTTGGACATTTGAGCTGTGTCTATACTCTTGCGATGGTAACACTGCTATGAACATTGTTGTACAAATCTCCATTTGTGTTTCAGTCTTAATTTTCTTGAGATATATTCCAAGAAGTGGAACAGCTGCGTCATACGTAATTTCTATGTTCAGCTTTTTTGAGGAAATGCCAAACTGCCTTCCAGAGTTGTTGTGCCATTTTACAATGCCACCAACAGTGTATAAGAGTTCCTACCTCTCTGCATACTCTCCAACATTTATTACTTGCTGTCCTGTTACACTTTGCCACTACTATTGAGGTAAAATGGCATCTCATTGTAGTTTTTATTTGCATCTCTCTAATTGCCAGTGATTCTGAGCATTTCTTCATGTGTCTGATGGCCATTCGAATGTCCTCCTCTGTGATGGTCTTTCCATGTCTTTTGTCCATTTTGTAATTGGGTTATAGCATTCTGTAAACTTCTGATGAGACCTGTGTCTGAGATGGTATTCCCAAATGTTTTTCCTCATCAGTATGTTTTCTTTTCACCCAGTTGGAAGAAGGTTTTGATGCACACAGGGATTTAATCTTTAAAGGCCCCATCTCCTGGTTGTGTATTTCTGTTTGTATTTGTCAGCCATTTTATACCATGGGCTAGGCCTTCTAAGGTTGGTCCTACTTTGTCTCTTATAATCTTTATAGTTTGGGGCTTTATCCCTAGGTCTCTGGTACACCTTGAATTGATTTTTGTCACATAACTTTTGCCAATCTAAATTTTTAGAATTGTACAATTTATGGACATAAATTAATCAGCTGTGTACCTTTACCTTAATCAATGCAATGTTTCTATCACCATTAATGTTACTTTTCTCTTTCTCATCTCTATTAATCATGAAAATAAATTTTGGTTACTATACCAGTTATGTTAGACAGAGCCTCAGAATCCTTGCCCAAGGAGCTGCCTGGTTTAGCCCCTTCCAGGATGCATCTGTTTGTTTTCCTAGCAGTCCATGGTACCCTCAATACTCTTCTCCAGTACCAAAGCTCAAAGGCATCAATTCTCCTTCTATCTTCCTTAGTCACTGTCCAACTCTCTGATGCATAACAAGTGATTGCAAAGACCATGGCCTGTATCAGACGCACCTTAGTCTCCAGAGAGACACCACTGCTCTTCAGTACTTTGGAGAGGTCCCTACCAGCAGACTTTCCCATGGCAATGTGCCTTTTAATTTCCTGCCTACTGGTGCCAAGAGTGTTGACTGTGGAGCCAAGAAAACTAGAGCTGTGAACAATCTCAATCTCTTCACCATCCATCCTGATGCTGCCAATTGGCCTAGTAGAGAGAATCTTTATCTTCTTGACATTGAGCCTCAGTCCATATTGAAGGCTGCAGTCCTTGACACTCTACAGTAAGCGCTTCAGGTTCTCCTCAGTTTCAGCAAGCAGGGTTGTGTCATCTGCATAATGCAGATTGTTGATAGATCTTCCACCAACCTTGACCCCACACCTCTCCTCATAGAGCCCAGCCTCCTGGATAATCTGTTCTGCATACAGGTTGAAAAGGATGCTGTAAGGAAGGACCGGTCCTTGGAGAGGGACATCATGCTTGGTAGGGTGGAAGGAGGAGAGGAAGGCCCTCTATGAGGTGGATTGATTGGATTGATTCAGTGGCTGGGGTAATCGGGATAGGTGTATCGGAAACAGTGTGATTGGTACAGGACACAGCAGAGTTTAGGGCTGTTGTACACAGAGTCGCTATGAGTCGCAAGCAACTAGACAGCACATAACAACAACAAGAATACAGTTGCCTCTTCTTGTGTTTTTATTTAAGTGCTGTCATACAGTTCTTTTAGGAAACTTTTAGGAACTGTTGTCTACAACAGTTGTACTATTTTGCATTCCCAGTCACCATATTGTTGTTGTAGTCCATTGACTTGGAACTGATCGAAGCTGACCCTCCAGCATGTTTTCAGAGGAAGTAAATCGCACAGGAGGAGAATACCCATCCTTATCCCACAGAGCAGTTGGTAGAGTCAAACCATGTACTTTTATACTGGCAGTGTAATCCTTAGCACTAAGCTACCAGAGCTCTCTTGTCGTAACGCAAGGGGAATTGAATGTCCCCACATACCTGCCAACATTTGTTATTTTCTCCTTTTTCTTTCTTTTTTAAATATCGGATGCATCCTTCTGGGAATGAAATGGTATTTCGTTATGGTTCTGCTTTGCACTTATACCTAAATGGGACAGAGCACGTGTTTGGTGGCCATTTGACTGTACTCTTGGAGAAATGTCTATCCAAGTCCATTTTATGACTGGATTGTTTTTGTCAAGTTGCTGAAGTTTTATATGCATTTTGGTTATTCAGTTATTGTTCTACCTTTGGTTTCAAATGAAAGGCTATCAGTTGGTAGCATGTTTTATCACTTTAGCAAAATCTTTTGATGAACAAAATGTTTAAATTTTTATGAGACCTCATTTGTTTGTCTTTTTGAAAGCTGGGCCCCTGTTGCCCCTGCTTGTTCTAATTCTTTTAGCCCTTAATCCATAAATCCATTCTGAATGTTTTTGTATGTGGTATAAAGCATGTATCCAGTTTTATTTTTCTTTGTGTGAAAATCCAATTTTCCCAGCATCATTTATTGAACATATATTCTTCTTTCCCTGTTGCATGAACTTTACACTCCTGTCAAAAATCGTGGTTGTGTGGGTTTATTTTTGGACTCTAAAATCCAGTATATTGGCCTATATGTGTCTACTGGCACCAGACTTTTTCGATGCCCATGGTCTGTTTTAAGTCAGGAAGTGAGTATGTCTTCTCACACTGCTTTAGCTATAGAGATCCTCTTGTCATTCCACCTGAAGTTGAGGGTTCGTTTTCTATTTCTGTAAAGCAGACTGCTGGAACCTTGCCTGAGAGTGTATGGAACCTACAGATCGCTTTGGGTCACAATGACACAAGTCACAATATTTTTTTCAGCCCATGACCATGGGGTATCTTTCCAGTTATGTCGTCTTTGACCTCTTTTGGCAATGTTTCACTGTCTAACCCCTATACATCCCTCATTAGATTTACCTCTAAATGTTTTGTTGTCTTGCATGTAATTGTAAAGAGAACTGTTTCTCTAATTACTCTCCCAGATTTCTTACTGTTAAAGTATAGAAATCTAACTGATTTTTGTTTACTGATCTCATACCCTACAACTTTATTTCACTATAAACTTGAGAAGTATTTTCAAATTTTTATTAGACATTTTCATAATCAGAAAGAAACAACAGATATTCTACATAATGAAAATATACCAATTCCAGGTATTTTCATTAAAATTAATAAAAATTAGTATTTTAAGAGTCTGGTTACAAAACCATCAGGATAGTGCACGAACAGAAATTCAAATGCAATGACAAAAGCCAAGAATGCTTCTTCTTGCCCCCTCACTGCACAGCCAGTCACAGGTGGGACCTTTTGCATTACCTGATTGTTGACGACCACATGCACAGTGCCATGTGTGGTATAGGACGGCAGGTCACTGAGGTGGAAGGTCTCATACACAATGCCCTGACCAGCAAACGCAGCATCTCCATGCAGAAGGATGGACATGACCTGATGATATATAGGCAGGTCCCCTCATCATCAAATTCCACAAGATAGTGTACATTAATTAATAACGGATTAAAACATTTTATTCTGATATAATTCTAAATTTAGAAGAAACTGTAAGAATATGAAGAATCCCAGGGTTCCTTCACTCTTCTTGTAACTGCTTGCACATTGCTCTGCTTGCTCCCTGTCTACATATCCCCACTGTACATGGTCAAGATTATGTCCTGCAGACATGAGGCTCCCTGTTCCTTTTATGACTGCCACTTTCCTGGCAACAGACACTATTTAAGTGCATACTTTCCTTCCTCACTTAAAACCACACCCCTAGTCCAGATTCCTTAACTCTGAAAATCAGTTTCCTCTAAGCATAATAATACATTTACTTTTTATTATACAATTAAGTAAAGCAATACTTGTTTCCACCCTTAACAAAAAACGTGACCGTGACCGCTCTCTTCAGCCAGCTTGCTCTTCTTAGGACATTGGCCTTTTCCTGCTATGCTCAACTCTCCCTGCTCCATCTCTACTTCCATCTTTCATCTCCACGGAAACTTCTTCCCACATCAATGACCTAGATCCTATAACTTCTACCTCTGTTCATTAAATACGAGAGCAGCCATCTCCTTTGAAAAGTTTGATGGCCTTTTATTTCTCTTCCTCTACAATTCTAGCCCATACCTATGCATCCTTCTGATGGTCTTTTACAGTTAACTTAGCAGTCTAATATTACATCACTGAATGTTCTATTAGCTTCTCCACATAGTATCTTATTTCTAGACCCTTGAGAACAAGGTAAATGCAGATGACTTCTTATATTTCTTAGTAGGCACTTAAGAGATACTATGAACTTCTGACTACTTGGTTTTAGGTCACTATAATATTGCTGAGAATGTCATCTTGAGATAAAATAAGGGGAAACAGTAATAATTAACTGAGGATATCTGGACACAAACTGGCTAGTCAGCCAGCATTCAATTAACATCTAAAGAATGAGACATTTAAAGAGTTGCTTTCACCTTGCCAGAAGAGAAAGTGTAGTGTGGCCACTGTCATGCACAGCATATGCCAGAATCAGGCACAACCAGACATGTAAATCTGTTTTTCTTAATTTCTAAACAGCATAATAGACTTACTTCCCTGACAACTATGAGACTTTCTCTTCTCACATATTTGACAATTTGCCATTTCTCCTTCAGGCTCACCTACACTGCTCCTTATCAAGATTTTCCTCCCATTTTTCAGTAAAAATGCTCCTTTATCTATCAGAAATATTAGTGTGGTCTGGCTTTTCTCCCAGATATGGTGAAAGAGAAGGAATTAATTTCCTATTTTAGAAGGCCATGACTTTGATAGAAAGCGTATTCATAAATAAGTGGGACCATTTTGCCGTTTGTTACTCTTACAAAGTTGGTTGAGTCTTTAAAATTCCAGATGTAAGGTCTAAGAAATGCTAAGTGGTTTCCCCAAATTGTCAAGGAACACACACAGGAGGCACCCCATCAGGAGGCTGGAGGCACTGCTGTGCTCATCCCTGAAAGCTGTATCTGGAGACTGGTCTACTGGGCCTTGTCCAGCAGCTCTTACCTTTTTCCCTTCAGTGTCCCCACAGTAAAACTGCTCAGCTTTGGTTTTGCCCATTACCACAGGGTCTGCAGCCTCAAGATGGGAAGGGTTGGCCACCAAGGATAGAGTGATATTTCTGTCTGTCACTCGATTGATTCTTCGATGATACATGCCCAAGTGGTATTTCACATCCCCAGAACCCTAAAAATACAATGAATGTGTCTTCATAATAAGCAAGAAAAACTCATATTCTCATATTTACAGGGAAGAATTATGATTTTTAGTAACTTCTCACAGACCTTCCATATTTACTTCTACTCCTAAAACCTTTGTGCATAGGATTGTTTTAATACAGAGCACAGGTAGGCAATGTCTAAATCACTCAGGCATCTGCTTGTCTCCTAGCAAGGAATTAATGTGCCCTCTATCTCATCACAATACAGACCTCAATGTGATCTCTAATGGCTATCTTCTTTATTTCTCATAATATTTTCCCAAGAAATAGATGGAGCCAGAGAGGTTTTGTCTAGGTATAGAATATTCATATATTCAGCTCAGCCAAACTATGCCAGGCATGAAAATGACCACGGTTGAAATTCTGCTGAAGTTTCTGCAGGGAGACACAGGTGACTCACCTCATCAGCTGCCTCCAACTTGGAATCAAACTGACAGAAGATCTGCTCGAGCTCCTTCCTGATGACGTTTGCAAGCACGTTCAGTCGCCCTCTGTGGCACAGGGGAGGATGAGTGCTCGCCTACAGAGAGCTGGATGGGGCTACACCGGACCCTCCCGTTCACTACTGTACACACTCGGGGACAGTCTTCCCTGCACTGCTCCCTATGCCTGCAAAGAGCTGGATGGGGCTGTCCTAGACCCTCCTGTCCATTACTGTACACACTGTGCTCCCAGGTACCCAGACATAAGCTGCACTGTGGAGAGAGCAGAAGGTGGGTCACCAGTTGGCAGGTGGTCTCTGTATGGCCTCTCACTCATCATATTTGTCCTGACTGTCGAGCTCCTGACATCAAGGAGAGTGGCACAACCACCAGGTGAGCAATTTCCCCTCTGCTGTGCTCTCTGACAAAGGCTATTTCTGGTTTATTCTTCTATGAACATATAACCCTAGGCCAGATGACCTGCTTAACGCACATGACCTCAGATATGACAGTGACTCTCTAAAGTGAGAAAAATCAACTTATACCAGGAACAATGTTCAAACTGAATCAGAAACTATGCCAACCTTATGGAGTAAGATATTCTCACACAACCAGAATGGAAGTTTCCTTCCAGCAGATTGAAAGAAAGAGAACTTAAATGGATGGACTTTAAGATGGACGAGCTACTCACTGAGTCACAACATCTGACTCAGTGCTTCAAGTCATGAAAGAATTGATACAGAGATGGGGCAGGAAACCATACAAGTGGCAGTCAAACAAACAAGCAGAAATTTCTTATGCAGAGGGAAAGGATCAAACAGGAGGGCCCAGCTGCTGCAGAACATCCCTGACAACTTACCTGTGCGGCATGCCCATAATCACATAGTCCACTCCATTCTCACTTGACTTGTCGATGATGGTCTTCAGGGCAGGAATTAGCACCTCACAGCCTTCTAAGCCAAAGCGTTTCTCGGAGGACCACTTCCGCTGAAGGAACTCCTCAAACCTGGACAGAGGCCAAAGAATCCTGAATAAAATGTTTTAAGAAATCCCTAAGTTAGACTTTTCAGTTCTTAGTGACCCATGTGAGTCAGCCCAGAACTGTGCTTGGACGGGGTTTTCAATGGTTGCCTTTACAGAGAGCATCAGGCCTCCACTCTAGGTGGACTTGAACCTCCAACCAACCAGTTAGAGGGGCAACATGCTGACCATTTGCACTCAGGCACCCCTAAGTAACAAGTCAGATGTCAAAGTTAGGCAGAGGTGCTGTCCTTGTATATGGGAGGTGACAAGCCACCTCCCAGGCATATCTTTCCTCAAAGGGAGATGACTAAGGCCATATGACTAAGTGTTCACTCATCCTGGACTGTGTCCTTCTTAGAAGGCTCATGCTCTAGGGATCCAGCTCACAGATGCTGCCTCTCCTTTGGCCAGACAGGTACCTGGTGGACCGTACAAGCCTGGCCAGCAGGGTTCGCTTCTCCTCATTTGTGAACTGCATGATTCCAGGTGTCTCAAACTTCTGTCTGATCCACTGGCACTGCTCCAGATCATTAATAAACATAAACTCCACTCCAATATGCTGACAATAGGCCATCTATGTAACAAAGAAACACATGGTAAAGAGTCTTAGTTAAATCTGGTTGAATGTAAAAGCTGTTCATTACGCAGTCAGCTAGAAGGCAGGAAAGAAGGTAACCTCCCTTTAAAAAAATGTACTAGGATACAAGTGCAGCCTAAGGAAGCAAAGGCCCAGCCACCTTTTCTGACTCTAAACTTGGCTGTTTTCAGGGGTAAAACTCTGCTGTCTTAAGGGGTAAAGTATACACACAGAAAGGACCTCCCTGATCCACTCCACTCCCTCACTGGGGGTGGGGTTGGGGGTGGGGGTAGGGAATGCATGGCATCAACTCTGAGATCCACAGTCCCCAAACAATGACTTTGCCTTAAGGTTAGGCTTGTGCTCAAGACCCTTAAGAAAGGATCCCACCATGCTGGCATAGAGAATGGAGCTCAAAGACCATGTTAAGATTTGCAGGCTTTGAAAATTTTCATTTCCCCACTGTAAAAGCTAACTCTGAGGAACAACGCAATCCTAAAGAAACATCTGGTTATAGTAAAGAAAAATCTTGACAGCCCCTTACACTCTGTGCACATGTCCTAGTACCATGGAAAAGGACGCACATCCTCCCAACACCTCAGGAGGGAAGCATGCAAGTCTCCTGTGTACAGGGTGAGAGAGTTAGCAGATAGCAAGGCTCACAGGAGAAAATAGAGAGGGAAAGGATAAGAAAAGTTCCCTCGTGAGAGAAGGAGTACCTGGGGACCAAAATTCTTAGCTCCTTGGTGCCCAAGGCCTCGTTCTTAGCTGTACATTTACCTTCCTTCCAAATTGTTGCAGCTGTTTCTGGGGAATCAGGATAGGGATCTTAAAACAAATACTGAAGAAGGAAATGGGTCCTGAATGTGAAACACTGATAAGACTAAAGACCAGTGAGGTGTTTTTGTACTTCAACATCATTCCTTTTAAATGTTTTATGAGTAGCCAACATTACTAAATCCTTACAGAATACTGGGTTCTACTATGAGGTCTCCATTCGTGTCTCTACTTAAGTTTTCACAAAAATGGACAGTGAAATCTTGGTTGTGAAATCTTGGCTGATCTGCCCAAAAACAAAAGTATCAATGCCAGGATTTGCATTTACTCCACCTTCCCTACTTGCTCCCTGCCTTCCAAGCCACACAGATCACAATTACACAATTTGTTCCATGATTAAGACATCAAGTAAAATGTGCTCAAACTAAAATAATGGCTGTGAGATGTGCAATCACATCATAGAAAACCATTTGGTCCTTGATCTTAGTTCCTGTAAACTGGACCACCACAGAAATTAATGACTAGGGGCTCAGCAGGCCAGGAGAGACCACCTGGGTGATGAGGTCATTAAACATGTTCACATGATGAGCCCAGTAAGAAAGGTCTTGGAATATTCTGATGTTTTTTGTTGGTCCTTACATGAGAGAGTATCATACCCCTCCTCTGTGCTTATCCTATGTGTCTCTTCTGTTTGTATGCTTTTGGGTTGTAACAAATTTATAGTAAGTCAAGTATACTACCTATGAATTCTGTGGATCATTCCAATAAATTATCAAAGGAAAGGAGGAGCTGGCACCTCTGAAGCTGAGAAAGCAAGCATGTGAATTCCCAGACCTGTGGGAGGTATTTTGAAGAGGCAGGAGAAAAACCTCAGGCTGGGGGCTGCCTAGTCTTAAGTAAGGGATGAAATCTGGACTCCTAAGACTGTGGCCAACACACAATGATGTAGTCCAAGTGGCTGCGATAGTGCAGGTGTGGTCTGAACTATAGAGAAAGGGAACAAAGCTTGTCATAGGAGGCAGTGGGCATGTAGGGTGAGGCTTGTTATCCAGGTAACTCAGGGTCAACGTGGGTGATCTCAGTCTTCTTGGGCTCATTTGGTACAGTCATCTGCATTCACTAACATAGACCCTGACTGCACAAGAGTACTTTAGATACCATCCTGTTCAGAGAACGAAGTTTTGTCTAGAGATGAAGAGAAAGTGGAGTTGGGATGTTGTTGTTCTGAATCCTGCTCTATCCTAAGCCAATTTCACTGTCCTGGCTGCACGTGCCTCCAGTCACTGTGTCACTCCATCTCATCTAGGGTCTTCCTCTCCTGTGCTAACCCTCTACCCTTCCAAGTATGATGTCCTTCTCCAAGGACTGATCCCTCCTGACAACATGCCCAAAGTATATAAGGCGGAGTTTAAAAATCCTTGCCTCCAAAGAGCAACCTGGATTAACCCTCTGCAGGACAGACCTGTTTGATCTCTTGGCAGTCCATGGTATGTTCAATATTCTTCTCTAGTACCACAACTCAAGGTATCAATTCTCCTGTCATCCTTAGTCATTATTCAGCTCTCTGATACATAGCAAGCAATAGAGAAGACCTCAGCCTCGATCAGGTAGGTGATCTCAAGTCTCTAGACTGATAATTATTGTTCTTCAGCACTCTGGACAGCTGACTTTCCCACTGCAATTTGTCTTTTGATTTCCTGTTTGCTGGTCCCAAAAGTGTTGATTGTGGATCTGAACAAGCTGAAATTGTTAACCACCTCAATCTCTTTTCCATCCATAACGGTGCTGCCAATTGGTCTAGTGGTGAAAATCTTTGTCTTCTTGATGTTGAACTTCAATCCATACTGAGGACTAGAGTTCTTGACCTGCAGCAAAAGTGCTTCTGGTCCTCCTCAATTTCAGCAAGCAAGGTTTTGTCATTTGCATAACGCAGGGTGTTAACAAGTCTTCCTCCAATCCTGATGCCACACTGTTCCTCACAATGTCCAGCTTCCTGCATGATCTATTGCACAGAGATTGAAAAGGTATGGAGACAGGACATATCCCTGACACATTCCTTTCTTTATTAAATAGAGTGGCAAATATGAGAATCAGGGCAAAAGAAAGTGAAATCATTCTGAAGTGGTGCCATTTGGGGGAAGATATGTCTGTAACTGAGGAGTACAGACAGCAGGAGACCTTCCAGAAGAATTCTGGACCTTTAACAGAATTTCAACAGGCAATTCCACATGCACAATTTAAAATTATGTCACTGTTGGCTACTATGCTGGACAGTAAATATCTAAGGGTTCCGAGGGAAAGTAGTATTGGTAGAATGCAGGTAAAGAAGATCAGAAGGCTCCAAAGGCCGGTTTACACAGCAGTAATCCTAACCACAGCCGTCCTAATGCTTAAGGAGATCAAGTTAAGTGTCACTTATATCACTGGATTTCACCGCCTCTTTCTATATGAGTCTGAAAGAGATAAAGGCAAAGGAGTGAAGCAATTCTAAGTAAAGACTGAGAATACCTGTGACACATTCAAGAATGTGCCTGTGACACATTCAAGAAAAGGTATTAAGTTATTCAGCAGTTAAATGTGGGAGCATCAACAGGAGAATTTTTCATGAAATCTCACTTATTACATCACACTAGGGTGTTTATGAAATATTGATGCCAGGGTCCTACCCCTGAGATTCTGACTTAGTCCAATCAGGAGTCCTGGGATTTTTCAAAGATCTATGAATCAAAAATCACATGATTCTAATGTGCAATTTGCTACACAGTGTGGTACAAGCTGGGGCTTGTGCTCAGGATTCAGAATGTACCTTAGATAGGACGCTCATGCAGCGTGCATACTAGTAAATCCTGACAATCAGTGCTGTCAATCATGTAGTCTGTCTCAACTCAAATTATTTTTTTATCATACTTAAGAATTATAACTTTATTAAAATGGAAAAATATTAAAAATAATGCAACAAAATTAGTAAAATCCTTTGTCCAAAACTGTATACACAATGCATGTTTTAACCTTCATTTGCTCATACTAAAATATAATAAGCTTTAAATAGCTCAAATTATCATTTAGCAGTTTAAATAGCATGTTGTCTGAGAACATCATAGTGATGTGCCTCCTTAGTGAGCACCTTCTTTTGTGCTTATCTTTACAAGATAAATACATTAAAGCATATGAAAATATGAATTAAGGTAAGCAGGGAAACAGCTTCCTGGGAGAATTGTAAAAGCAGGAAGATGTGGATGTAACCTCTAGTAGTAAGATACACTGTGCTATTATTGGTTAGAGTTAGTGTTTTACTTAAAAAGCAAACTATTCCCAGGAAATACTGAACTGGAAGCTGCAACACAAGACCAGCTAGTGTTGTATTTGTTTATTAAAACAGTCTAAAAAAACATGAAAATGAAAAAAAATAAGTAATAAAACCAAAACCCAATCAAGACCACAACACTCATCCCCACACAAAAACTCTCAATCATTGAGCCAACTGCTTCATTATTGTTTAAAAATAACCCCTTCCACACTGGCAGCTAATCTCCATCTCCACCAAGTGTACTGTACCCGATTCTCTGTAAGGCGTAACTGCCATGGGTCATTTTGTTGCTGTTATTAGGGGCCATCAAGTCAAATACAACTTACAACGACTCTATGAACAAAAGATCTGAACCCTGTTCTATCCTGCACCATCCTCACTTCCTGACACACAAGAGTCCATTGCAGCAGTCATCTTATCAATCCACCTGGTTGAGGGTCTTCCTCTTCTTCGCTGAGCATCCACCCTTCCCAACATCAAGTCCTCCAAGAATAGCCCCTCCTAGCAACATATTCAAAGCATGTGAGGCAAAGCCACACATCATTCTTGCCTCCAAAGAGCACTGTGGCTGCAACCTTTCCAAGACATATCTGTTCTCCTGGACATCTATAGGATGTTCATTGCTCTTCCTCAACTCATAGCTCAAAGGCATCAATTTTCCCGTGATTCTTATTCACTGTCCAGCTCTCAGACACACAGCAAGTAATTGGAAAGGCTATGCCTGAATCAGACACACCTTGGTCCTCAAAACTGGTATCCTCGACAATTTGGAAAGGTCACTAACTGCAGATTTTGTCAGTGCAATGTGTCTCCTTATTTTCTGTCTGCTGCAATGAAGACGCAATCCACACTGAAGGCTGCATTCCATGATTTTCTGCAACAAGTGCTTCAAATCCTCACTTTCAGCAAGCAA